GGGGGGAGAAGGGGGGAGGGGAGGGGGGGCTGCTTGGAGGGATTCCACGGTTCTTGGAAATTCGTTCCTTGCTATTATCTATAGTATGAGAGTCGTGGAATGGTTTAAGGGGGAATTTTGCAGCCGAGATTTTTGTGATTGTTGGTGGGACTTGCGGCGTGTATATCGATGCTATTTCAGGGATTTGCAATTCAATTATGTATTCTTTTTTTTTAATGGGCCTTCAGGATTTCGCGAGAACGACCGGGAACATTTGGATCTTTCATAACTTTCTTACCTAACCACGTTCGAGGTGGGACTTCGCCGCCCTGCGTAACGTTCCCATGGCGGAAAATTTTTTGGGGGGGGCGAGATGGGAAAAAGCACTATTGCAATATTTTTCGAATTCTTTCATGAACGTCCTTTGAGCTGTGACTGACTGGGTTGGCAGCGATCGTCGGAATTACACTATTGGACGCGGTTGTCTGCAGTTATGTGATAATTCAACTGCATTTACGCGGATCGTCGCTGTAACGAGAGCTTTTGAAGAACTCTTCGTCAAGAGACATTTTAGAGGATTTATATAGCGTTTCTCAAAACGGCAGAAAGAAGAAGAAACGAAAGAATCTCGCCTAAGGGTAGAAAGCACGGAAAGACCGAAGAGAAAACGGTCCATCGTGCTCGTTAGGAGGATGCGGGCCGTGTCGTGCCATATCGGGTTTCCTCCAAGCTTACAGCGGGAAATCGATTTCTTACTCTCGGAGAGACGACGGCTGATCCAAGTTGGCTCTGATTGCTCGTTATTTGACCTTCGATGAAGAAAAAGTGAAGAATGAGAAGTATTCCAGGTATGTGGCTCAAAAAATTGCTTAGAATGAGCAATTGCCTGGACAAGCGCCCTTGGGAATAGCGTTAATGTAACGTTTGCCTCGTGCATAATTTAACCCATGCCCATTGCTGACTTGCCCTAGATCTACCCCAGTCATTGTCCTGCTCATAGAGACGCAAGTAATGTCTAGAAAATGAAGCACGAGTGGCACAGAGAGAGGGAGAAGCGAGAAATCCCTGGAGAATTCCGAGAAGCAGATTTAGCCGGGCGAGGCAACCTGCGCTGGAAAATACGAGGGTGAATCAAAAAGTAAAGATACAAGTTATGTAATTTCTATATATAGACGAGCAAGCAAAGCGCAACATGTTTAAACTTGTTTGCTCCATCCCTGTTGTCATTATCCATGCGTATAGAAGACAGTACTTCATGGAATCTTGTCGCATGCGCACGTAACAAATGACCGCTCCTCTATCGGATTGCACCAAAGAAGAACAACGAGCAGTAATACGATTTTTGCACGCTGAAGGAGTACCCTCAGCGGAGATTCACAGAAGAATGTTGGCACAATACCGTGAGAGTGGTTTTAATCGCCAAAATGTCAATAAGTGGGTAAACCACTTCAGAAATGGACGAACACGTCTGATGGATGAAGATCGTTCAGGAGTTAAGAGGCAAACAGTTTCCGAATGAAGAAGCAGTGAAAAAAGCGGTGCAAGATTTTTTGAAGGCACAAGACAAAACATTTTTTCTACAGGCATACAAAAGTTGGTGGATAGATGGACCAAGTGCATTGAGAGGGACGGTGATTACATAGAAAAATAACAATGTTTCCATTTTATTCTTTAAAATAAAAATATAGGTAGCTTGTATCTTTACTTCTTGATTCAGCCTCGTGCATAGGAATGTAACTGTGACCGCACAAGCCGCGCATTCCCCAGGGCATTCTCAACTCTCGAAAGTCCTGCTTCTTCGTGGAAAGAATGCACCTATGATTTCGGCTGTTTGCTGCTGGACTCATAAGGGAAAGGGGAAAAGCGAAGGGGAGGCAGACGGCTGGAGTCGTGTCGGATGCATTTCGTCTCCGTCGTCATTCCGATTGCGCGAACGATTCAATCAGGTTTGGAGCTTAATGGCTTTCGAAGAAGTTCCACATTTAACTATCTACATGTTTAAACTCATCATTAATTTTCAGACTCGCGCACGTCTCTACATTTGAGTTATTTGCAGTCGCACTTCCTGGTCGTGAAGTTCTTCTCGCATATTTTTTAAATCTCCCAAGAATTCAAATTCCAGTGGAAATAGACTCGGCTATGAATTTTGATGTTCCAGATGCAGGAGAGTCCCGCCAATTGGCTATTTATTTTCAACCTGGAGGCTTGCAGGCTCAAAAGGCGTTATTCCGAAATGCGATTGACTTTTAAAAATGCTCATGAAATCACCTGAGACCCGTGTCGGGAAACATAGTACTGAAAAAAAAAAACCAACATATTTCCTTCTGCGAAAAGGACAAGTTTCAAAATTCATTTTTAATCTTGAAATGGTCATGAAAAGGACATGAAAGAAACATGTTCTTGTTTGGGGGGCTGAGGATGGACTCTAGCAACCCTGTTCAATCGATCGCCTTCTATCATTAGAATCTTGATGAATGGATGTTATCATCTCTAAATTAATAACATTCTCTAAGCACGACTGAGAGCAGAGTAGAACTTTTAAATGCATCATCCTTTGAGAGCCAATTTGTTCTCATTCGCCTTCCCTTCCCTTTTCCTTGAAAAAGTGAGTGGAAATGCCTTGCTTGTATGCAGCTGGCCTGGATATGCATTTTAAATGCATTAACCTTTGAGAAACGAAAACAATTAGCAAGGAGATGATTTGAAGTTTCGCTTCCCCTTCCTTTTCCTTGAAAAAGAGGAAATGCATTGCTTGTGTGCAGCTGGCTTGGATATGGGGAGTGGAAGACGCGAAGAGGAAAGCGGAGGAAAATCTGGTGGGAGAATCCCTAACAATTCGCATCCCTTCGGCCCGATGGAAGGACCACGGACAGAACCTGACATGCGTGGCCACCAATGACGCGGGCCGAAGTCAGGCTCATCTCACTCTCAATATCTCCTGTGAGTCTCCGCCGTTTCGTATGCCCTGGCCCGCAGCGTGCACTTTTTCAACAACAGGTTGGGTAAACTAACCCTGAGTGGCAAGTGACCATGAGTGGCAGCTTTTTGACCATTTGAAGTCCATTTTAATTAGAATTAATTCCAATGACGTGCTTTGTTTACGGTTACCTAAGGTACACAAAAGTTACTTCTCTGGTAGACTCATAGTCAATAAACCCGGGACAGCACCAGAAAAGACTTCTCATTTTGTTGAACTCCACATCGCCTAGCCAGAACCCCACTTACCACATTCAACCTGGACACAAATAATTTCTTATCGCATCTGGAGGACATCAATACGAAAAGGGTTACCACCCTTGGTAAACCTTACGGGTTAACCCTTAAATAAGGATGGTAACCCTTTTCTATACAGTACCCAGTACCCAGTTCCTATACTGTACAGAAGAAGTTCAAGCCATGTATAAACCTATATACCTCATAACGAAGGTACGAGGACCATCCAATAAGTTATCTACCTGAATATGAAAGG